ATAGGCCTTTGTGCAGCGCGGACGTCCGTGTGCCTGCTTCAAAGTTGTTTTCGTGGAAATTTCGTCGGTCATCGCATGGCGTCTAGTGCAAGGGTACAAGAAGAGACGTCACAGAAAAAAACCAGTATCTGCAAAGTAGGTCGTATCCTTCTGGGCTAACAGACTCGGCAGAGAGGAGCATTAAGTCCAAGGCCAGGCTCCAAGTAGGGCAGGGGGCGGAGTAACTTCTGACTGTCTGGCTCAATATCCTATAAATGCATTAGCGTAGAGCGCAGGTGAAAGCCTTAGTGCCTGCTCTTCGTTGTGGTCATTCTGACAAATCAATTTATATCCTCTAGACGGTTGTGATTTGTAAATTACTACACGACCTTCCAGTCTCCCCAGTATATTTCCTTGTATCACCCTAGACCGTACAGGTTGCGGATCGAACAGGACCCCCATGCGTCAAACGTATGGACGGTGCGTATGTGACTGGACCAGTATACCAGATAAATGGGCACTTTGCGGCAACGCAAATCATCCATTGCGTTCTTCCGGAAATCCGAGCACGCCGGAAAAACAAGGTCGTTAATTACACCGGTTTTAGCTGATGGGCCTCGTCTTTGCATGATGCCTGTTGTGGGCTCCTTACTTCGCCTGTCATGTGCAATGATGAATGACCTGAATAAAACACGAAACATATTGCGGTGCTGGAGTTATAATTGCCGTCAAATACGTACGTGCCAGGGGGTTTGGTTTGGAATGGGCCAACACGGGGTACAGTCACGGAAATACACCGCTGCCCACAAAATGAGTGGATATTAACCATTGTTTGGTTAAAACAAACCAGAAATTAGTTTCAATCCCCCAGTTTAGGTTGAAACAACCTGAACTCTTGGGAGGTTGCAGTTTTCACCCTCGCTTGGGTTAAATTTAACCCAGGCAACTTTTCAGTGCCTCTACCCTTTGAATCATACACCGTAGTGGAAATCTCGGAATTCGTTACGTTTCAAGACTGCAAAAAAGGGAAGTTAAGAAGGTGTGACAATTATGGGAGTGCAAAAATTAATGATGCACTCAGTGGTACAGATTAGGCCGGATCCTAGTTTCCACATTGTTGTGATGATCACCGGCAGCTGTATAGTTTATATCAGCACACACAAACCGTCATTCGTCCAAAGAGGAAACTAACATCCGAAACTTTAAAAAGTTTTAATAAGTCCTTGAAGTTAACCTTGCACTTCATTTCAGTGTAATAAAAATCGGTTGAGAATGGAGCTGCATTTCTTAATCAGCAGGAGAGAGTGGTCGAGATAACTATGGTACTCAAGCGAGTTGAGAGACGTAAACGGTGACGCCGTGCCAGCGTGCTCTTTATTTAGGCCAACTCTGATTCCTCTGTGTTTGCGTCACTCGCGATGAAGTCGCTTCAGTATGCTGTCTTCGTCTCTTTATTTAGATATTAGACGCGCGAATCCTTCCAGAAATGAATTCTCGTTCCAGCAAAATCGGTCTACGTGAATATTACACTGTTGGAGTAAAATGAAAACCACCCAAACCTGAAAATTTCAATTCGTTTCAGCAGCACAAAATTTGCTGATTCGACCAGCAAACTTCTAGAAAGGGGAAACAAAGCAGCTTGAATCTGATACCTGTACCTACGTCTCGCTCTAAAGTTTTGTAAATTTTAGACACTGGCACGAAGTCAAACTTTGACAGCTATCACATCTCAGCCCATTTTACTGTTTAAAATGACAACTTTTTTATTTTTCTTTCATGTAGAGTTTTATTGAGAATTTTGGCTGCAACAAGAGAAGTTGCTTGATTTAAATATGTATTTCAGTGTGTGATGTCATTGATTTGCATTTAACACAAGGTGCTTGGGGCTCTAGATTGTGGACTTTGCATTTAAATGGTAAGTACAAGCAGTTGGGATGTTTCAATTGGGTGTGGTCTTTTCATTGGGTGCACTGGAGTGTGAGGGAGTGTGGTGTATATAGAGTGAAGATGTGCTACCCATGGTCAGTCAGTTGCTGTAAAGCATTCTAACACCAGTGGTCAGGCTCTCTCCAATCCAACAAGAGTAATTTAAGCTAAGGGCCTTGTGCTCTTTTGGGGTTGCCATACTTTGTGAGCTTATACATCTTTTCCCCATTCTGAGCGGACCGTCAAATGACCCTGGAACTAGTGACTGACTGCAGACAACCGTGAAGCCACAAACTGTAAGAATAATTGTTTTCTGTGTTGAGTAATTTAGGGTACTTGTATAAAAGATTATCGTAGTATTTTGATGTTCCTGGAAAAGTCACAACTTTGATAATTGTCAGCAATGAGGAACAGTATTGTTCAACTATTTGGAGTTGAATTTATCAACTTTTCCAGAGAGGCCTACCTTATGGCAGTTTTACTACCTTGGGTCTAGCCAAGATGCTCTCCACTGTTCTGTGCTGTGTCTAGTGAGGGCGTCGCTAGCTGTTTGGCAGAGCGCTACGACTGCCGTAGACGTCTGAGGCCCATGCAGACCAAGATAAACTGTGATGTCACATTGTATTAAAGGCCTGGCTTTATACTTTAGCCTGTGTGGCACTATTTATGACACTATAGCCTGTGTGGCACTATTGATGGCTCTATTTAGCCTGTGTGGCACTGTCTATGACACTATAGCCTGTGTGGCACCGTTTACCCTTTTTGTCGGGTGAATATTTTCTCCTGAACTTGGAAGTAGCCTTGGTGGCTTTCGAAGTAATTTTTGCTGCACTTACCGGTAATTACATGTGCTGTAACTGTGGAATATTTCGCTGTTCAAGCTAATGAACTTGATTTACTACTGTAGTTCTATTGTCTTGTGATTGTACCTCCAAAGCATAGGGTTTGGTGTTATTGGCGTCTAATGTAGTTCTTTTAATTAAACCCGAAAACAATTCTCTGACGTAATTTCTTTATGAATTTCCTCATTTAAGGAATTGTACAAAACTATGAGAGGGTAAACCTAGGGACTGTAAATAGGTAATAAATTATTCTATTAAGATAAATTTCTCAGTTCTCACAATAGCAGTATATGCCTTGCAGTGATGTCCACTGTCTGAGAATTTGAGGGTTATTATTCTGCATTTCTTAATTTTTCTCTCATTTTCAATGATTAACATGCATTAGACTTTTATTCGAATTAGAATTTATTTTTTCACATTTCCTTTTTAACTGTATTATTATTTACCTTCAATTCCAAAGCAAATCAAATAAAATAAAATGCAAGAATCATGTTGAAATTTCATCACAGTTTATTATCTACAGCTTTCCCAGCTTTTTTGTGAGGCAGATTTACATGTATAACAAATAAACTAAGCTACTAACTTGTACACAAATTGATTCATTTCACTATTAGGCAAATCCTGCAAGGGCACAACATTGTGTTATTATCAACTTGGTCTTATTCTGTTTCATTTTACTGTTACGAAGTGCAATTTATTCCATTTTCTTTTTATATAATGTCTTTTAATCCTTATAGATAAGACAACCCCCCCAAATTAAATCAATTGCAATAGAAGTAACAATATTGGACAAGGCTTACCAAAGAAAAACTAAATTTCCTCAAATGGAACCTTTGCAACATGTGAAGAAAATCACGAAATGCTGTTTTGTACAACATTGCTCGGAAACGGTGCCTATATGAAACGTAGGCAAAAAATGAGCTAGCAACTTGCTCTGAATATAAGAAACGTTTCAAAACTGTAAATGCTACGAAGCAAAAACTGATCCATTTCAATGTAGGAAAGTAACCCTGGAAAATTTAGAAAAGATGTTACACTGGTTAGAAGTCAGCAGACACAAAGAGGTTGTGCCTCTTCTATTAACTTAGTACCATCCACACATTAAAAGTGCAAAGTTTTTACGAGTTGATGAAACCATTGAAAATAAAAGCTTACATGCTGTGATAAGCTTCATTAACAAAACAATTATTGAGTGGACTTGATTTCTGTTATTTATCTAATTAGCGGAGTGTAAGCATCAGGCTTTCTAACCTGTCAAGGCACCAACTCAGGAAATAATCCCTGCACTTTGTGCAAATATTGTTTTGTTGTACAAATACACTGTAACCAGCAAACCTATGGCATATGATGCAAATTGTCAATAAATGGTTGAATGCTTCATCCAACGAAGCAGCACTGGTACTGGAATATAAAAAAGGAAAGTTTGTAGTCCAACCTAGGCCGATGAAAGTTGATCTCATGGTTCTTGTCACAGCTGCTAGCACGGAAATTTCGGTCTTCATAAAAAGTTATTGTTCATCTTTTTCAAAAACCAAGTCTGATTTCACGGTTCTCATCACTACATCAGCACCCACATGCAAACTTTGGCCCAAGTCTAACAAGTTCACTGTTAATCATTGTCACAGTGTGAACATCGTGAATGTGATGCATTCGTGGTAAAATCCCTTGTCAAATTTGTAGAGACATTTGCTGATGAAAGATGGCAAAACCCTCATCCTTCCTCCAAGTGCTTCACACATTACAGGAACCTTGAGATCAATTTTCATCATGTTTACCTGCCTTTAAGAACCAATGAAGTATAAGTACATTTTTGCACACTCTGCACACAAGATGCATACATGTATTAACCAGATGTAAGAAGTTAACACTTGGTTTGATTTTACTGTAAACTTTATAAAACATACTGAGTATTGGCAGAAACAAAATTAGTGGAAAATACGTAAGATCGTTAGTTTGGCAGACTGTTGTAATAAAGTTTGGGGGGCATACATACCTGTACAGTGTAAACATACAGGTTCCCCCTCAATCACAATCTGTTCCGTGTTTCGTTCGTAGCCGGCAAACTGATCAGATTCTGCATGTACTACTAGCTATATAGGGCGATATACCACTTCTTGCATGCAGTAAATGTATATAATGGTAAGAAAACACGTGATGAGGAGAAACTTTCCGATTGAATGTCGCGTGAAATCCGAAAATCACGGTACCAGTCATGACGTGACGGTGTTTTGCAAACAACACTGCAAAAGTCCATGGGCACACGAATCAGAGTTTAATGTCCTCGGCGTTCTTCTGACTTCGTGATGGATTATGTTCAGCCCCTGGAAACGTTCTTCCGTCCAAATATAGCTACGAGCTGCAACAATGCACAGCTTAAGCCCATTTTGCTGCTGCTTTAGGGGCATATTTCTTATTTTCGACGAATTCAGGGAGGAAATAGAATTGGTTTTCAATCAGCGCTTGGCGTGACTTCACTTCCACATCGGATCGGGGGACGCCATGATGTATACACACTGCCGCAAGGTGCAAGCTTGATAGACAGGTTCCCGTACACTACAGAACGGTGGTCCGTATATAATAGGAACGGGAACAAGTCGAGCGAGTTCGACGTAAAGCTGAGCAATGATTGGTTCACGCGGGTTTCCTCTGTTTTTGAAAAAAAAACCTAAAAACTTAAAATTTTCTCGCCCTGATATCTCCCTATAGATCCTGAAAGTTCATACCTAATGGTGCGCTTCCGGAACCCTTGGATAGAACAAATAACGTAAAAAGTGTAATGGGACGGCCCAATGTAAAGTCCTCGTAGGCAGACTGCGCAAGGATTACAGAAGCTCGCTGCGTGACCTTTTACTTTCAGGCTCTTTTGCACTCGGCTTACTTTTTGAGTTGAACTCTGTGAAATATATTTTTAAATATATTTCCCAAAATGTTCTCGTGGAGTTCATTTAGACCGATTTTACTGGAATAGAACAGAAAAATAGGATTTTCATTCAAAGGTCTATATAGAAACCAGCTTAACCTTAGAAACGAAAGGACCACTAGATTAGCCTAACTTAACGAAGAATCTCGATTTGTGTGTTCCTGGTTTTTTCTTTGCAATGTGAGTAGCAATGATATGAATTCACAATCGAAACGGACAGGGTTGTCACAAAATCAAAGATGATACACTGTCACGAAACACTTAAATGGATCTTCACCACTATCCAACCTTAAACTATATGTGCAACGTATTATGGGCTGACGGGTTTGCATGTAAATGACATGTTCAGATACTTTTAACAAATGGTGGCTGATGCAACGTCTGGCATATTAAGAGTGAAAAGGTAAATAATTTAACCCACAGTGCAAGAAAAAACTCAGAACAATGTGGTATGTCCTTTTTGTTTGCAACTTGTGACGAGCTTTGCTGCTTTACACGAGAGGGGTTACTTTCAAAATTGCTTTGTCGCGGTGCGTACAACTAGCTGGCTCCCTGCCGTATCAATGATTTTGGTGGTCGGTGGCCGTACTATTAATAGAGTACGACGTAACGCCCAGGTTGCCCCCAAATTCATTTTATGTGCAGTGCACATTACTTCTGTTAGTTTCTTTTCAGTCGGCATATTCAAAGCTGTGCAGAAGTTGAGATCACTGTGGACAATAATGTATTCGAAATCTGCCATACGTCAATCCTTTTTTCGTATGGTATTTATTAAACAGATGCAAAAAACGCACTTGGAAAGCAGTGGGGGCTGCCTTTAACTGATTTGAAACTGCTTATCCTTTGATTTAGCACAAAGCTTTTAAAATCGGTAAAGTGTTTGCCAAGTGATGGCCAGCCTTAGAATTTCTAATCATGGAGAGCCAGGGGAATAACATGAGTTGTTTAGAAACAGAGAAAGTGCATTATAACAATTTGGGCTAGTACAGTCCTAATTGACTCACTGGTTCTGGGGAGGGGTAAATATACATACAAATATTACACAAGCAATTCCAGACTTCCCAAATAAATTCTGAAAGAACTATTTTTCGATTTCATTTGGAACTGCATCGAAATAATTTTTCCTGCTCTTTGCCATCGGACTAAATATCTTTTCCAATAAATTCATTACTTGAAATAATCTAAGCAATTTCTGTTTTAATTCACTTTGACAGGAACCTGATTGATATACTCATTGTAAATCCGTGTGCTGCTTCTTCCGCTTATTCACAGTAGGTCATCCCTTAATTAACCTCTCCATTAAGAACTACTTTGTGTTAAAACTCTGCCTATATACAGTGCTGATCGAGTGAAACCTCAACATCTTTGTTGTTCAGAGCCATCTTTTTATTTTGAGTCTCACGTCATCGCTGTTCAGAGCCTGAAAGCTTTTAACAGGCGTATTGTGTCTGTAGTAATTACTTGTCATGTAAATATACATGTCAGCCTCCTCCTCGATCTTTCTATTCTCCGTTTACAAATCTTCGGTCTTCGTTGAACGAAAAATAAGACAGTTTTTTATTTATGGCTCCCAAAAAGAGCTATCGTTAAAAATAAAGAAAAGACAATCTGTGATCTATTTCATTTCCCTACAGGATGGAACACGCCCCCACATTTAGTTTTATCCTTCAGAGAGATTATAAAAGATCCACAAAAAATGCTTCTATTTTATTCCCCCTCCAAAAAAGATGAATGTAGCATTTAACAAGTAGAAAAAAATAACAACACACGTTTAATGCCAGGAAAATACAAACACTATTCAAGCGTGGCTTGATGATGTGCGACCTTGACTGAGTCCATATTGCCCCCGACGTCACTGCAAAAACCGGGCTGTTACTACATTGTTATCAGAGCACCATGCCAACATTTTTCACTATTTTGTGGGTGTTTTTTCACACTCTTTATGTTACTTTTAATAAACTCCAATGCATTGTAACACTGTAAGGTGTGTGTAAATAATACCAACGGTGTTAAATCAACACGTTTAGGTGTGGACATCTGATAACGGCACAGCTTTTCCAGTGTTGAATGGAATCGCTAAAATCTGTCTTCGTCGTCTTCCGATTTGATGTCGTCAGTAGAGCTTTCCTCGATAGAGTCACATCCCTGTAAAATTGGCAGATAAAGAGAAACCGGCATGAATCTTGTGGATGGCATTGATCTATAAACAGAAACACACCAAAAAGCAACACATTAATGTGACTACTGTCGAGTGCGTGTATTTTCATGTACATTTCCAACCTTGAAACAAAAGGAATCTTCATGACATTATGCTGTTCAAGTCGGAAACATATGACACAGCATCAGCTGTTTAACATCATGAAACTCTTATTTGAAAAAGAAAGTGATTCCTCAAGTGTCAGAAGAGCAATGGGTCTTAATGTTATTTCCCTTTAATCTTGTTTTAAGTTTCAATGAAGAAACGGGTACTTTTTAACCTCTTTTTTAATTTTCATTGAAGAGACAGGTAATTTTTTTCCAAACGGGTATCCCTATAAATGCCTAAAACAAATTTCAGCAATAGAGTACGCCCTTTGCAAATATATTATTTACAGCCTGCGTCAATGCTCTCCTATTTATGTGTTCACATGTTTGTAAGGGCATATTAACCTCATACTTGACATACATTGCCAGAGTACTAACTAGTTTTGGACAACACTGCACAGCTTGACCACAAGCTGAAACCCTTCAACACGAATGATAGTACAAGAAGCGCGTGGTAAACGGCGTCCAAAAATTTGAACTCGGGGTCGATGCCGTGCACTTACTCTTCCCTCTTTTGTTAGCATCTGTAATTCTTCACTGATTGCTGCAAATGTAGGTCGGTGTAGTGGATTTTCCTCCCAGCACTGCAACATCAGGAAATATCTAGAAATCGAAAAAAAGTCTCTCTTTTTCAGTAGTGACCCTTTCTTTCGTGTGCGGTCCTTTAATTTAGGTTTTAAAGAATGATGCAATTTTCCCGAATGGAATTATTCATTTCAAATTAAGAAGGCAGTGGAAGCATTTTTTCAGGAGAGTTTTCGTCTTTTATGCTTCAGTAAATGGAAATTATTTGTTACTCTTTCTGTAGTGAAAAATATCAACTCACAAATCCTCCTGACAGTACTTGGGTTTGGGCATGCGGTAACCAGACTGGAGTTTATACATCACTGAAATGTTATCCATTCTGGGGTAAGGGCGAGCTCCTGTAAAAAAGTGAATGCGTAACAGAGTACCGAAGTGAATACGTCACGTGCACAATTAGTGTGTAAAAGGCATTAACGCGAGAACCAGCGCGTGAAACAACACGCGCGCGTACTCCATTCGTTTGCACTGCACTTTCTGGTTCACAGTGACGTCACACTTCTGTACTCTATAGAAGAATGTATCATCGAACTGTGGACTCGTCTACAATTATACTACCGCTTGAAACACTTAAAGGGGTACACGTTATGTGTAACAATCAGTGAGAAAAATTTCCACCTTTAAAATCGTTTTGTACGGCGCTCTGGAAGTGCCATCCGACATGTTGACATCCTCACATATTGTTTTTGGGAAAACGACATGATGCAGGTACGTTTACAGCCTGAGCTAATTTATCTTTAGATGACGACATAGTAAAAGTTGGATAGCAATATCCTGCGAAAATAATGAAGACATCCTAAAGTAATTTTGCGTGGGAAGAAGATATCGTAAAAGGGTAGACATTACACTAGCTGAATGACGTCGTCACGAAATAAATTATCTTAGGATGTCGTCATCCCATGATAAATTATCTCAGGATGTCAACGTCTTACCTTTAATATGCCGTCATCCCGAGACAAAATATGTCAAGTTCTCAACATGTCGGATGGCACTTCCAGAGCTCCATAGTTTTGTCATCTCCAGTGAAATGCAACAGATACTGGCATAGCTGAGTAACTTGTAGTTGTAAGCAAAAACTTGCATCATTTCTCCAACCATTCCCAAAATTTATTTAATTATATATATATATATATAGGCCTAATTAGAGTTTAAATATGAATGAGTGTTCATGCATAGGCGAGGAGTACTAGTGTTTACCCAAGAACTAGAGCTTTCCTTAGAATAAATTAAGAGGGTATAAAAGGAGAAAACTCAAACGATAGACGCAGAAATGACGAAAGGAGAATTAGGGATATTTTCCTTTTGCGAGACGAGACACACGGCTGCATATTTATAACGATCTACAAGTTGGAACAGGTTCTAAACCTACTAAAATCTGTGCCACTTACAGCCTCGAAAAACAACTTCGGCTACTTCATTTCTTTTCAAAGATCAAATATAACTGTTTCTCTGTAGTTTGTGGTGAGACACAAACCTCCCCTCCACAGCCTAAGATCACTGGTTTAGCGGAAAGTAGTATTAGTACATAGCGTGAACGTCCTGAATTGTGACAAGTAAGTTTAGTATGTTTATTGGCAAACTTTTAAGTAGAAATAATGATTATTGTTATATTTCAAGTTCTTTCAACCGTTTCCCCCCTTAGGCTTTCATTTAATTGACCCAACACAGCATGAAACATGAGCTTCTTCTTTTTTCCTTTTTATCCTTTATTTTGTGCTCAGAGAAACCTAAACTCACCCTGCCTCTGTTGCCCCATGCCTTTATCATGCATGGTGTTATTTATCATAACACCATGAACATTCATTACAATTACCAAGAGTAACAATTTCCCAGAGAAGAATGCCGAAAGACCACACGTCACTCATTGTTGTGTACTCATCATCAAGTAAGGACTCCAAAGCCATCCAGCGGACTGGCAACATCACCTGAAACGTATCAAAAGAAGAGGGGATCGAGCGAAGACTGATGTCAAATGAGTCATAATTTCTTGAGTCAAAGACTTCACCAAAGCTACCCTAAATATCTTATGAGTAGCATTTGCTGTAGCATTCTGTCAGCGTGTTCCGTCTGTGCGTTGCCAGAATTGGGCCTGATAGGCCACAAAGATGGCATAAATGCAATAATCGCAAAGTTTAGGTTTCTGGTGCAGTGGTTAAGCTCTTTATTCTGCTGCTGAACACGGTAGAAAAACTTCTCAACGCAGGTAGATATTGAGGATTAATAACCAATGGAAACGCTAAATGAGATTATTAACACATACGCTCAGGAAATCTTCTCTGTGACAGATTCCAGTTTGAAGGCAACGTATAATTACGTACCCCGGACCCTCGTTTGTATGTTCTGATGTTCATGACGTCACGTGCGAGTCCGAAATCAGACACCTTACAGGTCATGTCTTCGGCCACAAGCACATTACGGGCAGCCAGGTCTCTGTGGACACACTGTACAACGAGGAAACAATGCTCCACGTCGTTATCACAAATGTTTGCATGCTTTACATAACCTGATCAACAAAAACCGCAAAAAAAATCTTTAAAAGGGTATTAGGTTGGATTTCTCAAATTCACCTGCTGCGATGCAATAAACGCCATTCCGTCCGCCACGTCCTTGGCAAACTTAATCAGATCCTTGGCCGTGAGCGACCTGCTGACGCCATGTAGGTTGCCGTACTCACGCCCGTCCTTCGTGCGACTGCTGTCGAGGAGATCTTTGAGGTTTCCCAGGGAAAGGTATTCCACGATGATGTATGGCGGGTCTGAGGGAAGAGAGTGATCTCTAAGCACCTCAAATTGCAAACCTAGACAAGAATTGTTTTCAACATCTACAATAAAAACTTTAAATGCTCAAAAACTGGATCCGCCCTGTACAAACTGCTGGGCACCCCCCGAATTTTTGCAATAAATTGCTGTAAACATCAACTTCCCAACTTTTGGCCACAAGGTGTTCATGAGGAAAATGACCAACATTCGGATAACTGAGCTTTACCCAATTTTTTGACCAACGTTTCCACAATAGAGGAGAGGCCAAAATGTATTTCCCTTTGATAACTCTTCTGTAAAGCCTTTTCTTTTATTTGAATAGAGTTTATGCATTACTGGTGCCTTGGAGGCTGTTCTTTGTTATTGTAAGTTAGTTACAATGAACGCACAAAAGGTTTACTTGAGCCTATCCTAATGCACTTGTTCTCCACTTCCACCTCGTTGCATAGCCTCTATAAAAGTTGTTGTGCCGTGTGTCCAGTTCACGCACAAACTCAAAACACATGTTTTATTAAACAACTAAAAGAAATGTTATTCAATATGCTTGAAGTTTCAAATGACTGCCACAGAATCTCCAAAAAGTACCTTGTTCTACACAATATCCAAGGAGTTTGACTACGTTGGTGTGTTCTGGTATCTTCTTCATCAAATCCAATTCTTTGATCAAACTTGTTCGGTCACTGTCAACAGCTCCCCCTACAATGTTTACAAATGTAAGGTAATGATTGATTATTTACAGTTGAAAAAGTCACCTCTAAAAGAATAAATTTTATTGTATCCTAAATATATTTACCCAAAACCACTGTACATTATTTGTGAATGTTAGTTTTTACGAACATAAGTTATATTCAACTCAAGGTAGAGATACTATAATTATGATATTAATTTGCAGCAAACGTCTGCAAATCTTAATTATCAATCATGATGTGAAATGGGGGTAATTACACCACATACGTTTCAGAGTCTTGATAGCAACCAGTGTAGTTTTTGACTCCTCAGTAATTCCCATTGCTTCAGCCAGAAGCACCAGACCAAAGGCACCGTGCCCAAGCTCTTTGACAATTTGCAGCTTATCACGCGGAAAGGCTCTGTGCACGGTAGGGACATTCGCATATTCGTGCATCGGTTCAGGCTGTCGTGAGGCAGTCAGGTCTGTCAAAAAAGATGTTGGGTTGCAGGATATATTAATATGGTTCAGACCTGTTAAACTTGTCAATCATTGAATTGCAGGAGCCCGCTTATAATTCTGTATGTCAAAGGCTTGACTCCACTCAATCTACTGGCCTTTCCCTCTAACAAGCAACAAAAACGGCTGGCATGGACTTCGCCACTGAGACTGGTGACTTAACGGGGCGTTACTAACACAGGTGGATCTAATACTTCACTCAGTGATACAAATGTCGAAGTGAAACATAATTATATCCTGCAGTTATGTTTCAGATTCAACCTAGTAAAATGGAAGAAATATACCCTCAAGGTCCAAGCTTTAACTGTTCAACAAACGGTTCTGTTTTCTGTTAAATTAGACCTTCACTCTTGCTGATCGAAAAATAGTGAGTTTGATTAGTTTTATTTATTTTTAAATGGGGGATATTTTCATGTAGGTCGAAAAACCGTATTAATTAACATATCAGGCAAAAGCAAACTAAAATTGCAGAAAAAGTAATAACCGAACATAACCGTCAAAACTGGTACATTGAAGCAGAAACGGAATATTTCTTTGTGTTATACAAATTAAAGGTTATCTTTCAGCATCTACGTTAGGGAAAATAGCCACAATGCAAAATATCTTGATATAAAGAGAAAAGGTACACTGACTACCTTCATATTCCCTTTGAATGTTTCTCACTTTAAAAGATTTAGGAAAGATACATTTTCAAACGTAGTTTAAAAATACAACACTGCTTCCTGGCTTCATTGACTTAAGATATACAAATTAAAAAAGTAGAGGGTTTGACTTTTCAATCACAGCAGCACATTTCTAAAGACCTTTGAGAAATATTCTGTCGAGGATCAAAATGTAAGACCTTCTAACAATTTGATTCAAAAGTGGTGATTTTAGATTTTACGCCTTTGGAGCAAAAGTGTTACCTTCGACATTGTGTGGACGGAGATGTTCTGTGTGAAGCTGTACCTTCGATTGGTTGACATCGTTCTCCCTGTTTGGGGGACAAGTAATGCATTTAGAGCTCAATATTGTATAACGTCGACTGAAAAAGGGGCATTTCAAATAAACTGTTCGACAGTTAAACTTGGAGTTTAAAGGAGTGTAGAATAGACTTACACTTGAACTGGATGCAAACTTTTTCATCTGAACACAAACAAACAACACAATCATAATAGAGCATTTTCCTTGTTGATTTACAGCATTACGTGCAACTCCATAATCTATGGGAAATAAGCTACACTCACCAGTGATCTCCTTTCCCTGTTTTCCTCCATATGAACATTGCCACATCGAATTCAAAGACTCGTTTTCCCTTCAAGTAAAAGAGAAGACATTCAGTGTACTTATGTCAATGACGAATTCTATTTTTTTTATAGAGGAAAAAGTCTGTTCCGCATTGTGCACGCTTAAAAAGACTTAACCGACTTACGCATCTTTTTCTCGTACTTGTGTCTCTCCTGCAAACAACAAAATGAAATTTTAATTTTGATATTTTCATCAGTTGGAAATTCAGTCTTGACAAAATTCACTGGTTTTACACTGGGCTTAACCCCTTCACTAACATATCCAACACTATATTCTTAGTGTGGTCTGACAGTTGAAAAACTCAACCCACCATTTTCTGCTTATAGTGCAGACATAAATATAACAGACGGGAATATATAAGTCGGTGTATACGGGGAAAATAATAAATTGATATTTCCCCGGCACAAGGCACAAGGGGGACTGGATTTCTTTTTATGTTAAAACTTTACCTTTGGTATGCTCTTTGAATTTCTTCCAAGCCACTGCACTAAGCATGAGTACGACGACCAGTAAAAGGGCTGCAACAGCAATAGTCAAGATGACACCGATGTTCAACTTGCCACTCGTTCCCAAAGGCGGCTTCCCTCGTGGTAAATCGTTTACTGGACCCAGATGAAAAATGAATCACACAACGAAGGAAGTTATTCGCAAATGCTAAGATTCGCAGACAGAGATCTCACTCATGTAACGAATTATAACTTATTGCCAAAGACACTATTGTTACTCATTCAATGTTTTGGTTCGGTAATCAAATAACTTGCATCACTGTATCAAAACAAATACTGCATTTGAGATTTTTGGATATTGCATAGTGGTACAAAACCAATTCACAGTAGTCGGAACATAATTATTCAGTACTGTTTACCAGTACTCGACTTTACCGCTGGAAAACTTTATGGAGCGTGCCAATCAATGAAAGTTTGATCACACGTGTCGAATGTTATTAAAAAGGCCTATAATGTTTCTTAAATGTGAAGTTTGAAGGAAAGGTACAAACAGAACCAGCTTGACTGATAAAACCTATGGAAACTTTAAAGCAGCAAACACACATACCTCCTTCAGCACGAATCGGTTCACTGCAAACTTCTCCGTGACAAATCCTAGAGCGTACTTCGGTGAATTCCTTGATCGAGGAGTCGCTTTCCTGATTTGTCTTACACCACACTGAAAGCAAAATCTGAGTATCGGTTCTTGCGCATCCACCACAGTCAGACCAGTTCCCATTGTCTTTTGTTTTTGCTTCAAGCCGAAGACATTCATCAGCCCCGCCTTTGAATCCTCTGACTGATAAGGTGCCGGCAGCTGAATCCAATACGAAACCTGAATATATTTTTGAAAGTAACCAGAACAAATTATCGTCTTCTAAACCTTGAATCAAAAGGGGGCCGTTAACTACTGGAGTAGGTTTGCACAATAAGCCTTTTGTAAGTTAAATTTTAATAAAATTTGGTATCCCGAGTTATTTTATTGCGCTAAAACACAACAAACCGAAAACACTGTTGCTATAACTGATGATTCACGGCAAGCTTTTGCATAACGACCACCGTCTCTGGATGGTTCTGTTGTGCCCTTCTTATCAATTGGAAATAGTGTATTGATGCAAGGCGCCTCTTGTGCCACTAAGAAAAAACTTGCCCGAATCACGAGGTCAAGCAACAGTGTTTTTAGTACGGAGAACTAAAACTATTTAGTTCACGTGAATTTACAGAACTCAGTGTACCAGATTTTATTAAATTTAACTCGCAAAAGTCTTATTATAGCTATAATCAAAGCCTGATTATATGATTGATTTTGCAATAACGATGTTATAATAGAGCACTGAGGATGAGCGCGCTATTTCTCGCTTCGAGTGCGCGATATTAATACATTTTGCTGCTACCGACCGTGTTGGATATGACTACTGAAGTAGGAATTGTGATTATGTAGGTTATCATGGGACACCCCTACACATTACCTCAAAACTCACCTGCTGCACTTGTTGGAGGCTGAGCTGGAGGATATTACAAACGGGTTACATTTTGTTCCATCATGCAAAAAAAAATGGGAGACAAAAGCCCAGAGTTACTGTTTGGTGGCTAAGTTGCTAAGTTTGGTAGCTAATTTCTATATCATGATGGAAACTAACTCGTGCATTTTCTTTAAGTCTTCTATAAGCTCTGAATTATGGCCTTGCTATGCTCCCTTTCAAGCCAGCACTGTGCAGTTTGAGTTGGCATAGCGGAGACATTTCTGGTATTTGTTTTATCACACCAACAAAAATGTAGTTATTACTAGCACACAGCACCTTACCAACGTTTTACAGTAATGAAAAATAGGAGGCAAGCCTCCTGATACACAAGTGACTCGAGATACGTCAAACTGCACGTCGTACAGGAGAATTATATAGCAAGTTAGCCATTAGCACTACCGGTAGCGTACAATTATTTATTTAAGGTTGATGGTTGCCTCCCTCTCCAACAAAAAGTAGAAGAATCACAATTTATGCTTACGAAGAGTGAATCCAACTACCCTGCCAGGCTTGGGGCTCCGTCCGACTTCATTCCGAGCATAGACCCGGATTTCGTACTCGGTGTACGGTTCAAGGCCCTTCACGGTATATATGTTCGTTAGTCCAGGTACATCACCTTCCGATACTTCTCTTCCCGTTGCGTCCGAAGTCTCGCGGTAAGTGACTTCAAACCACTGATATTTCCCTCCATCGTGTCCAGCGATCCAGGTCACAGTCAGGGTATCTACGGTACGGCCGACTGCGAGCACAGTCGGCTTGCCCGGTCTTCCTGCATGTATGTATGGAATAACTGTTACTAAATCGTACTCTTCGTTTCTGCGCGGTAACGGATGTAAAATATTTTTTTTATTAAGTAGCCCCTAGTGTGAGATTTGTATGGCACATTCACATCACTTTATATGGCTACTAAACCACAGTTGGGAGCGTTTTAGATTTAAGCACTTTATACGCCATTTTCATGTCTTCAATTCCAGTACTGCAGCTTTTTTCAATAGCTTTTATTTGAATAGTTAAAGGACACGGTTTTCCTGGCTTTTCTACGGTTCACAACATGTGGTTGGCTATAACTGTTGACTACCTTCCCGTTTCCCTTCTTTTAAAAAGCTCGTTATAAGCTTTGACCGAAGAACTTACTCGCTTCCAAGAGACTGGCTGCCATTGAGTCTCTCTCTCCAACACCATTTGAGGCCACACAAATGTAAATCCCACAATCTGCCCGGGAATTCACTCTGTGTACGACGAGAACACTGCGAACTACGTATCCGACAACGTCATCCCCGCTGGCAGCACTTTCTACTATAGTGACGGATCTCAAGGAATTGGTGAGCCTCGTTCCGTTCGGATTATACCACTCCAGTGCCGGCTTTGGGTTTCCTGCAGCGGTGCATATGAAAGTTGCGTCTTCACCACTCCTTACGTGGACATCATTGCTGTCTTTGTTGGAAATGCCAGCAACATCTGTTCATAGATCAAAGTTTGAAACAGGCTTCTTGCTTCATTTCTTTGACGTAACCCTTTACAGTAAAGGGTGTAGATTTATCTATCTTATGCGGCCTTCAAAAATCACACCAAAGGCATAACAATGGATTTTCTTATATAAGTAGTCACAAATAGATCATAGTTAATAGCTTACAGTGTACATTCACTAACACCACGGGCGACACTCTATCGGAACTTGGGGCATCTGACGGAAGGCGTTATTTGCTGGGCACGTGTAGTACCCTGACTGATCCCTCGTAATGTTACTCAGAGTCAGTGTGCTGATGCCATCGTTGTTCACCAAGGAGGTCATAGCATAGCTCGAATCCTGCTTCTCCCAAGTGACGACAACAGGTAAGGGTTTGGCATCCACGATGCATGTCAGGACAACCTCAGTGTCTTCAACGATAGGACTGTCTGGAAATCTTTGAACCGACAAAAATGTTGGGGCATCTGTTCCAAACAAAAGACATTTATCAGCATTTCATAGTTTCAGAAGCGTTCGTGAAAACACGTTTATCCAGCTGTCAAGTTGGCAACGGATTACGGCAAAACGTGTAAACACGTTTAGTAAAATTTGGTGTTTGAGGTTATTAGCCTATGGTATAAGCAATTTTACCATCACCAATCTGTAACTAGCAGGGGAGCCTGCCATTGCGTTTGTATATCAAGCTGATTCGGCATCTAGGGAGGGTATGGAATTCAGCAGGATCTAAATTTTGTAAAAATTTTATTGCATTGTAAAAACATACCTAAGGACTTACCTCATCAACTCAACGCAAAAACTAAACTACATTAGAATTCAGCGAATTTCACAAGTTTAAGCTCACCTATTAAAATCTATTGGACAAATAAATTTTATAAGGTTGTTTTAATACATATCACATGGGCCAAATCTCCCAACTACAGTGCAAATATGACTGATGTCAGAATGGGGGGGGGATGAAAAGAATGATTCAGACGTTACAGAGCTGACTGTAAGATGCAACAAAATGGGCGAGTGTCAATAACATCTAAAATGTGTAGCCCTTAATTTACAGTGCACAACCAGAGTAACTCCAAGGGAGATAGAATTAGAATTTCTATCCGATATTGGTACACCATTGTTTGCTTTGTAGGTGTAGTTTCCAGCCTGCTCTTTTGCAATGCTACTCAGAACCAATGTACCGAAACCGTCGCTGTTAACTTGCGAGCTCAACAGGTCCCGTGAACCCAGCTTCTTCCAAGTAATGACGTCGGGCAACGGATTGGCATCAACTTTGCATGTCAAGTAAACGTTGCTGCCTTCGTAGACTGGGTTTTCAGGAAATTGTTTCGGAGGCAGGATTGTCGGTGCGTCTGTGAAAGAACTAGGAGGATGTTTTAGTCAATCCCCTATTCATATATAGTCAATATCCAAAGCGTATGCTACAGTAATCCTAGTCTTGGTTTCAAGACGTTAGTGCTTGATAGCGGACACCGTGCATAGTGCGACCCCTAACGACTCAAAATTATACTGTGCGCCAGCTCGCACTAACGTCTTGGGAATCTTGCAGCAGCGTTTTAACTTGTTTTTTGTTTTTCCCTCGGCTTTCCAAGGGAACCAATCAGCACTCGCTAAATTGCAGATGATAAATTTTGATGACCTCAATAATACACCGTGGTATGGTCACATGCATCATGGCTGTCTGCAGTCCCGTCAACACAGACACGACAACCCAGACGTTCGTACAGAGTTAACACGGAGTAGAACGGGTGATACTCAAACTAGGTTAGGCCTAGGATATGACAGAGGATGCTGTTCTTGGTGACCCATAATCATGTACAGTCAGTATGCCCTCCCCAACTAACTAAAGCGTCCTTA